CTCACCATAACTAGGCTCTTAGTTAGTTTATTTAATACCCAGGAGCAGAGAAGAAGATGTTCAAAGAATTCATGTATTTTCACTATATATTCAATAGAGCCCCGCCCTAACACCAGAACCCCTGACCCTGGGGCCATAAAATTCACAATTTTGGTAGAGGCACTGTTGCTCATCATAACTATGTACTTACTTAGTTTATTTAATACCCAGGAGCAGAAAAGAAGATTTTTAAAGAAATAATGCATTTTCACTACCTACATATTTAGCCCCGCCCTAGCACTAGAACCCCTGACCCCAGGGCCATGAATTTCACAATTTTGGTAGAGGACTCATTGCTGATTACAATCATGCAAACAGTTTGACTGCTTGATGCCCAGGAGTAAAGAAGAAGATTTTTAAAGATTGCATTAATTTTAGTGGTTTTGGCCCCACCCCTCAGGCCCCTGGGGGGCAGGGATCATGAAATTCACAATTTTTGTTCCCCTTCACACATAGATGCTTTGTGCCAAATTTGGTTGAAATTAGTTCAGTGGTTGCAGAGAAGAAGCTTAAAATCTTCAAATGTTAACGCACGACGCACAACGCACAACGCACGACGCACGACGACGGACGAAAACGGATAGCAATAGGTCACCTGAGTTTACTCAGGTGACCTAAAAAGCAAACCTTGACTATAACTTTTAAAGATTAGGGCTAGTGCTTTCATACTTTACATATTTAATCTTTATGACAAGACCTTTCTTTGGGTACCACCAAATCAGACCTTTTGACCTTGACCTTGGAGTTTGACCCACTTTTATATGAAAATTTTAACATTTTACTTTGGCCATATCTTTTGAACAGTATACACCAGGACATTTATACTTCACATATGTTATGTTTGTTAAAAGACCTTTTACTGGATACCAACAACTTTGACCCTTTGACCTTGACCTTGTAGATTTCCGTATTTGTGAAAAAACTTTAACCTTGGCTATAACTTTTGAACGGTAAGGGATAGGGCTTCCATACTTCATATATGTAATCCTTGTGAGAAAACCATTTATTAGATACCAAGAACTTGACCTTGACCTTTGATATTGACCTACTTTAAAAAAGCAAACCTTGACCATAACTTTCAAAGAGTTAGGGCTAGTGCTTTCATACTTTACATATTTAAACCTTATGACAAGACCTTTTATTTGATAACAATAACTTTGACTTTTGACCTTGACCTTGGAGTTTGACCTTCTTTTTAAGAAATTGAACGATGACCATAACTTCTGAACAGTTAGGGCTAGGGCTTTCATGCTCTACATAAGTATTTTATGTGGCAAGACCTTTCATTTGATACTAATAACATTGACCTTTTGACCTTGACCTTGGAGATTTTTGTACTTATTAAAAAACTTTAACATTAGCTTACTTTCAAATTTCACAATTGTTTTCCAGTGAGAATACCCTACTTTTGGTACCAATTAATTAAATTTGCATTTAAGAAAAGCTTAATCTTTGATATGTTGCCATACGGGGGCATCAGTGTTTTACAAACACATCTTGTTAATATACCGAAAATCGCTATTTCTGGGGATTGCAAAATTCTAAAAAAAATTCAAATAAATTTCAAAGGTAAAATAAACAAAGGATGCTTGGTATTAAAATATTATTTCAAATCAGTAGAATTGAGTGCTATCAACGACTTCTGAATAAATAGGCTATAAAAGGCTTATATACCAACTTTGTTCATCTGCACTTTAATTTTAAACAAGACAGGATTTGTATTTTTTTCCGTATAAATTAATAATTTCTATATACTTTGGAAACTCAAATCAGATATTTTAATACACTTTCCTCGAGCTCTTTTCTGCAGTTTTCCTGAAATTTTATGTGGGTCCGAGGTGTTACTTGAGTTTAACAGCGATTCTCTACGTTGCCATTAATTTGATTTGTTTGGTTGTTGCGGGGGGGGGGGGGGGGGGAGGGGTATTTTTATTCTTAACTTATTTAACGTTGGAGTTGAATCTTGTATCTTACTCCAAGAACTTTCGATTGATTGTGACATTTGGATGAAAGGGTCATTAAAAACCACCACCTTTTTAACTTCTATCCTGTCAACCGAAATAAACTCTGAAAGGTGTTTCTAGATACATGTATATGTACATGTTTCTTTTTACCCTTGGGTCAAGGACAAAGGTTAAGGTCGATTTCAAGTTCATAGGTCAAGGTGATTTTGGTAAATAGCTAATATCAACATTTTATTCAGGTTACCAGTGACCTTGACCTAAGTTTCAAGGTCAAGGGTCAAAAGATATGCATGCTTCAGTATGTTACATGTCTTGACATTTAGAAGTTCTTAATTTTGCATGAACATCAAAAACTCAAGTATACTGTCGTTTAATGCATTGTGTGCGGGCGCATGTGCATGCACGTCCTTGCATTTACTTTTGTTAGTAGCATAATGTAGAAATCTATTTTACCTATTCATATTCTGAATTTCATCCCGTTTCATTGAGAATTTAGAAAGTTATAGACATTTAAAGTTTCAGCCAATCAGATTGCAGCATACGTGCATGTGCATGCTTTCATGAAAATTGTTACATCATGCTGTAGATCTTCATAATGTATGAATATGTTCAAAATTTCACAGGATTTTGTCAGAAAACAAAAAATATATTTAGACTTTTAGTTTCAGCCAATCGGAGCAAAGCGCATGTGCATGCGCGCGAGATCTTGCTATTTTGACCAAGTCGTCATGTCTATACTACTAGTATATCCTTCTTTTTTGAGTTTCAAAGCATTTCATCCAAATTTATAAAAGTATCGGCTATATCTATTATATTGGTCATTTCACGTGTTAACACGTGTGCGCACACTCACGCACGTGCGCGCAAAATGACCTTCGTTCTGCACATCTACATAACATACCTAGTGACCCTAAAAAGGTTTCACCTAGATCGGATGAGTAGTTTACGAGAACACTTGCGGACAAAAAAGTACCGGAGAACAAAGAAGAAAATTCAGAAAAAGTAAAAACAATATGTTCCCAAACTTCGTTTGGGGAACATAATTAGTAGTGCACCCCATCCAACAGGAACCACTGACCCTGGGTCACATATTTCAAATTTTTCAAAAAGACATCTTCGCTCTAATAATCATCATAAATGGTTGAATAATACCAAAAAGCAGATTTCAAAGAATTAATTTAATATTTACAGAATATGTAACCCCCCTCCCTATTAGTACCCCTGGCCTAAGGGCCCTGAGATTTATCATTTTGAAAGAGACACCTTTCTTCATCATAAATAGGTACATGTACTTACCTCATTCGCATAATACCCAGGAGCAAAAGAAAAGATTTTCAAAGAATTCATGCATTTTCACTACATAATCATTAGAGCCCCGCCCTAACAACAGCACCCCTGACCAAGGGGCCATGAAATTTACAATTTTGGAAATGCATTGCACATAACTATAACTTAGTTTTATTTAATACCAAGGAGCAGAGGTGAAAATTTTCAAATATGTATGAATTATCATTATATAATCAATAGAGCCCCCCCCCCTTACACCAGAACGCCTGACCCAATGGCCATGAATTTCACAATTTTGGAAGAAGCACAATTGCTCATAATAACTATATACTATTTGTTTATCATAACAATATACAGTATCGACCGGACACAACCTAACAGAAAGCGAACCCGGAGCAGACCCCGGGATCGCTCTCTGGGTCTGCTTCGGGTTCGCTCGGAGTCCGCTAGGGCTGACCCCGAGCGAACCCCTAGCAGACCCCGAGCAACCCGAAGCGGACCCAGAGCGAACCTGAAGCGGACCCAGAGAGCAAACCCCAAATTCAGTAGCGGTCCCAGAAAGCGAACACTCGTTCGGTATTTCTTTACAGAGCTATTAATCAGGATTAGCAATTAACCAATCAGCGCGTCGACCATCAAAATGGCATATTGATCTGTCGATTGAGATGAAAGATCGAATGTGTGATGCTATTCGATATCAATCGAAACATTGTACATACAAGCAAAGCATGTGAATGTACTGTATAAATCTATTATTATAATTGTAAAATACTTTTTTTATAATTATTTATTTTAACTCGCCAGACTGTATGTTATATTTATTTAGTTTCTCTTTTTTTAAAGTAACTAATAAAATACGTACTTTAATTTTCCAGGTAGAATGTTACATGTTTTTACCTTTTTATTTTCTTTAGTTTTTGTAAACCAGTATTTTAAGCCCTTTGAGAGAATTTGATATAAATCGGGTAAATGCATCAGTCAAAGTGTAGAAGAAAAAAAGAAGATAATAATTGGCCCTTACAGAAAAAACTAATAGAAACCTATAAGTGTTTTATAATCCTATTATTAGCAATTTATAGTCACTTATAAATTTTGAAATTTACTTATAAGTGTACTATAAGTCAAATTAAGTACAGGTAAATATCTGTATTTCGAACATGGGATATCTCAAATAGCCTGCTTATGTCGAAGTCGATCGTCGGTCCCGGCCGTATTTTCTATATATATGATTAAAAAAAACTACTGATATCTCGAACACGGTAATCTCGAATAACCCGCTTAAGTCGAAGTAAATTCAAGGTTCCAAGTCATAAATTTACCTGGCTTATCTCGAAGTGCAGTGAATTTTCCGGTCTACTGAACCCACCTGGTGTCGTAACTTCACAGGTTCTCGCCTGTGGCAATTAGTTAGCACCTTCGAAAACCTAGGGTATCTTAATTAATCCCAAGCTTATGAGGGGTAACTATGACATGATAATCGGTATGATAGCTTGGGTGCTTGGTGTAGTTTATGATTAATAAATAAACAAGTTCACAGCCACTCTGAAATTAATACAGTCAGTATTACCGATAATGCATTTAATAATGCACGCTAAATGATTAACATCGGAAATTCAAAAAACACAGGGATTCTTCAAAGTGAACTTGAATTAAACAATTATAATGTTAGTAGGCTATAAAATAGGACGTAAAATAATTTTTCGTCACAAGACAGTACAGAGAAGAATTCCAGACCTGGTCTCAAGAGAAAACTAAAGACCCATACGATTGAAACAAAGTTTCAAGCCATCGCCGATGTTGAAAAAGGAAGAGAGAGTAAAGCAGCCATTGCGAAGAAGTATGAAATCCCCCCCAACACCTTATCAACTTGGATCAAGAATGCCGAGAAGATTAAAGAGGCCTACGAACACAGCGCATTGGGACCACAGAGAAAGAAGATGAGAACGGCGACCTTCAAAGACACAGACCAAGCAGTTCTACAATGGTTCAAGACAGCCAGAGACCAGAATGTTCCAGTGTCTGGGCCCCTTCTCATCTCTAAAGCACAGGAGTTCGCTTCTCAGCTTGGCGATGAGTTCAAGTGTACCACTGGGTGGCTCGAGCGCTTCAAAGAGCGCCATAACATCACCTTTAAACGTGTGTGTGGCGAATCAAAGGCCGTAAATGAGGGTACTGATCAAATGACAGAGTGGTCTTCCACTCTTCAGACCCTCTTAAGCGAATACAGTCACAGTGACATCTTCAATGCCGATGAAACTGGATTGTTTTTTCGCCTACTCCCCGACAAAACTCTCAAGTTTAAAGGGGTAGATTGCCGTGGTGGCTAGAACAGTAAAGAGCACTTAACTGTTATGGTTTGCGCTAATATGGCGGGTACTGAGAAGATACCACTTCTCGTGATTGGGAAATCAAAAAACCTGCGATATTTTATCATCAAAACACTGCCTACCTCTTATGAGGGAAACAAAAAAGCCTGGATCACATCAGAGCTTTTTACAGCCTGGCTGAGAAAACTGGACAGACGCTTTCAGCACTAGAAACGTAAAGTTGCCATGAACTGTCCAGCCCACCCGAAAGTCGACGGTCTGAAAGTCATCCGCCTGTTTTTCCTGCCACCCAACACCACAAGCAAGACACAGCCCATGGATCAAGGAATCATACAGAACCTGAAAGTCCACTACAGAAAGCAAGTCATTTTGAAACAATATCGGTCAATAGAGAAGGAGACAGAGTTACAGATAACAGTCCTGGACGCCCTCAGAATGCTAAACAACGCCTGGAACAAAGTTACAGAGAAAACCATCAAGAATTGCTTTTGACACGCCAAATTTGTTATCCATGAAACCGAAAACACACCAGATGAAGATGAAGAAGATCCAGAAGATGACATCCTCCTAGCTGCCCTTCACCTCTGAGTGCCCTTTGAAGATTACGCACAGGTCGACGAAAATGTCAACACAGCGGAATCAACGACAGATGCAGACATAGAGAGAGTATCAAGGCATCGAAAAGTGAAGAGAAAGAAGAAAGTGAAGAAGAAAATAAGCCCGAGCCACCCAAGAAGAAACCCTCTACCCCTGATGTCCGTGCCGCATATGAACTCATACTAACCTGGGCTGAGATGTCGGACAACACAGAAGACCTTATACCCGGCCTCCAGAAAATCGACCGCCAGCTTGTGATTGAGGAACTCAGATCGTCGACTATGCTGCAGCAGTCCTGTCACACAGTTTTTTGGTGACATTGCTAGTGACAGGGATATGTGATGTGTTTTATGTGATTGACTGTGCGACTGTTTTCAGGTTTATCTTAGTGCTGATATAAACATGTGCCGTTTTCATTGTTTATTATTCGTAAATATTTCGTTGTCTCTTTTGTTTATATGTAGTGCTCCGTTGGTAACAAGCCTTTAATATATACAATGTACAAAGACTGTATATTTTTTGTAGTGCTAGATTATACTTCGAAGTGAATATTCAATAAACTATAGAAAAAAAATCTGTCTTTTTCTTTTCTTACGTAAATGGTTCTTCAACTCTAACGCAAACGATACATCCGGTTTAAGATTGTAAGCATGTAAGCATTGTATGGATTATGCAAAATTGCCGTATTTTCGATAAAATCAGTGAGTAACGTGTATTTTTTTTTATTTATTTCATAAAAGATTTTACGTGATAAAAAGAAGAAAAATATTTTTTATTTATTGCAAGAATGCTTGAGACTATTTACATCTCACTTGATGGATATTATGATACATGTATATACATGGTTCATGAGTTAAAAATACTATACAAGCATACAGAAATTTACCGATTCAAAATTGTAAGATAACTTTGGATATCTCGAACCCCCGGATATCTTAAAGTTTTTTCCGAGTCCCTCGAAGTTCGAGATACTGATATTTCACTGTATAAGTGAGGAATGGATTTCGTTAATATTTCATTTATAAGTAAAGATGAGCTACATATCAGTGAATATTTCACTTATACCTCACTTATAAGTGAAGATCCGTATGGTATGAGCGAAGTATAAGTGTGGACTTATAATTTTTACCATATACTAGACTTCTCTCAAGGAGCATTATGGGTATTCAAGGTAGCCAATCAGAAAGTTTGTCTCTGCAGAGATCAGCAACAAGAATTTGAAACCAAGTTTGTGTCTGTGAAAGGATGTTACAGATTTTAGATTTATTTTGAGTATGCCTTCACATCAGGTACAACAAGTAGGTTCTATTTACATCATCTCTCTATTTTAACTTCCTTTGCCTGAAATTTTTAATCAATTGACTCAGTTGTTTTCAGATTTCATAATCAAGGTCATTAAATCTTGTTGCATTTTTGGTTCAACATTTTTGTTTGTAAACTGAATTGATATGTTAAGTTTGCATCTTCAAAGAAATGTCATATGAAAGTGATTTTTTTCCATAAAGTGCAGATACATGTGTATATGTAAAAAATAGCTTTGAACATATCATGCAACCCCTGCATGGTTACAGGAAATTCTGTTTTAAATTAAGATCTTACAGGTAGTGTTATACTTCACTTATAAGTGACTTATAGATGACTAATACTTGATAAAGTATGAAGGGTTAATGCTTGACTTATAAGTCACTTGTAGTCACTTATAAGTGACTATACTTGCATAAAACATAAGTGGCTAATACTGGCTTATAATTCACATATAGGTCAAGTAGCTCATTTGCATATAAAATCCTAATGAGCAACTTATTAGTCACTTATAAGTTAAATGTACCAGTGAAGTGTAAGTCCAGAATAAACAACCTATAAATAAAAAAATAAATCACTTATAAGTCACTTATCAGAAATTTCTGTTAGGGTTATCAGTATCAACATGTGAAGTTTGATAACGCCATCTTAAATGGCATGTTTAAGACTGAGCAAAACACTAATTTAAGAAAAGTAAGGTCAAGGTCAAAGGAAAGGAAAAAAAAATGTTGATGCAGTTGCATAGCTCTCATCAATATCTATCAGCATATAAAGTTTGATAAGTTTGATTTGAAGTTTGATGAAAATATCTTGGATAGTTTCTTTGAAATTTTGCTTTGAACAGAGCTAAATGCAAAGTGCAACTGAAAGACAGACGGAAGGATGAAAGGACAGAAGGACAGAAGACAGACATGACAAACACTATATGCCCCGGCCAAACGCATGGTGGGGCATAATAAAACTATTGTTACTAGTAAATGCATGTACATTTAGGAAGGCTATGTGATTTTTAAATATCAAGACATATAAATAGTCTCAAGTAATAGTATAATTAAACTGTACAGTAACAAGAGATGTTTGTAAAACACTTATGCCCCCCTCCCCCCAAATTGGAATTTTTCCAAGTCCAAGGGGCATAACTCTGTCAAAAATGGTGCAATCATACCTAAAACAGAACTTGACCTGGATATTAATGTGATATATCTGTATAAAAAATTTCATTTCAGTATGTGCAATGGTTGCAAAGAAAATGAACGGAAACTGCAAATAATTGAAATTTTTCTAAGTCCAAAGGTCATAACTCTGTGAAAAATTGTACGATTGTACCCAAAACAGAACTTGACCTAGATATTCATCTGATAAATCAGTGTACTAAATTTCATCTCAGTATGTGCAACGGTTGCAAAGAAAATTAACGGAAACTGCAAATAATTGAAATTTTTCTAAGTCCAAGGGGCATAACTCTGTGAAAAATAGTGCGATCATACCCAAAACAGAACTTGTCCTAGATATTCAAGTGATATATCTGTATACCAAATTTCATTTCAGTAAGTGGAACAGTTGTGAAGAAAATGAACGGAAACTGCAAACAATTTGAATTTTTCTAAGTCCAAGGGGCATAACTCTGTCAAAAATGGCGCAAACGTACCCAAAACAGAACTTGTCCTAGATATTTATGTAATATATCTGTATACTAAATTTCATCTAAGTATGTGCAACGGTTGTAAAGAAAATGAACGGAAACTGCAAATAATTGGAATTTTTCTAAGTCCAACATGGCATAACTCTGTCAAAAATGGCGCGATCATACCCAACACAGAACTTGGCCTAGATATTCATGTGATATATCTGTATACCAAATTTCATTTCAGTATGTGCAACGGTAACGGAAGAAAATGAACGGAAACTAAGTGGCACTGACAGACCGACCGACAGACAGCAGCAAAGCAATATGCCCTCCCTTCTTCGAAGGGGGGCATAATAAAGATTGAACTTCCCAATATGATTTAATATATAAATGGATTACCATAAAGCAGGTTTTTCAGCAATAATTATTGTAACATTTGGTGTTTTGCTTATTCAAAAGTATGTCAATAATTTTGGCAGACACAAAGTACCCTTACGTGTAAAGCATTGGAAATTAATCTTCTGGATGCATTTTTAGTATGTTTAATATACACTTGATTACCGAAATTATGAGTAAAATTATGAGTAAAAATCAACACCAGTCACCAGATGAGAGATATATTGTTTGACAACAGGCCTTCCCTTGGGGCCATAAAACTTAGACGAGCTCACTTTTGATCTTTAGTTAGTCTCGCTTTTCCACTATATATTCCTTAGGAAAAAGTGAGACAGAGATCAAAAGTGAGCTCGTCTAAGTTTTATGGCCCCCAGGCCCGAATGAACAGTTATTTTTTCTTGTTTTCTGAATCAGTAACTTTACAAAAGGATGCAAATGTAGTTATAAAAATTTTAGCTGCTACTTCAAAACTGCTAAATAAGCCAAAGTTAGCACCCACTAAAAATTCCTGCTATTACATCAAAACTCGGTTATAGCGAAGTGACTGGGACCTATGAAATTACTTTGCTATATCCATAATTCATTATAACGGTATATTAAGAAATTCATTAAATTCATATAGCTGGGGATCCAAGATGACTTCACTATATCCGTAAATTTGCATTATCCGTGTTCGTACTTTTGCTGTATAAAGTATTTGCTTCATGGTCTGACACAAGCATATTTCTTGTCTTGCAACAAAAAACACTCAATGAAAAATGTGCAAGGTAAATTCCATTTAGGCAAAGTTCATTTACAAATCTGGATATTAAACAATGTTGATTACAATTAATTGTTAAAAAACTTGGATAAAATTAAAAGTAAAGTTATTACCAAAAATGAGGAAATCACAATGGCTACAATCAAGGGAGACCATACATTAAAACTCTAAAAAAAAAAAAAAATAAAAATAAAACAAGAGGCCCATGGGCCACATTGCTCACCTGAGAAGCTTTGACAATTCTGTACTTTACTAGATTTACCCCCTTGTAATACATATTGTGACCCCACCCTACCCCACTGATCATAATTTAGACAA